CCTTACTCGCCGTCCGCAGATTTTAAGTTATTCTTTTAAATAATAAATATTTTCTTCTATCGTCATTTTTATTCCTTAGTCCCCGCACTATGCGACTCATATTCGTAGGTGTGCTTCGTGGAATAGGAAATTAATTATTTAAAATTTTTATTTGGAGCCCACCTACTAGTGTGCTAAGTGGAACACTTTAGGTGGGCATCGTCTGGGTGTGCTTCATGGAATACCTCGGTAAGAGAAGTTATTTAATGATATTCCTACTACTTACCTAAATTCAAAGCCTATGTGTTTTCCTATCTCTGTGCCAGATTAAATTCAAATCCGTTCAATAGTTTTTATGTAAAACAATAACAAACATCCATACATGCATACTTACAAAGTTAAATACGCGTTTATAATATTAGTAGGGTGTATTATGTCCCGATGTCAGTATGTGTACAACTTTTAACTGTAATGTAAATAAGTATATTATGTCCAATCTGAAGAAAATAAGATTGAAAATTATGTGATATTATGTGATACGTATCACCGGATAGTAAGCAAGCTATGTTACCGCCCATGAACACTGAAAACATTGAGATTATTTGAGAAGTTGGGCATTTGGGGATACAAATCATCTCAAATAATCCCTTCACTTGTAATCCTATGAGTAAAGGGAGTAGGTGGTTGAGCCTCCGGAAACCTTACTTTCACTGGTTTTGTGTAATGACATGGTTGGAAAAATAGTGGCAATCTAACTCTGTTATTTCTGAGATTTGTGGGGGGGGGGTGTGGTATGTGGTGTAGCGAGTGGGGCTCCCACGGCCTTCCAAAACCCTAGCAACTCCTAAGCCAATATCTACAGTGGATATAACTATAAAAACTTCAAAATACTGAAGTCCGACTCTGTTAACTCCCTTTATTAATAGAACTTACCTACAAAGCTGCAAACACGAACAAAAATAATCCATCCACAACACTTATTTCATTTTAGCAACTGATCCACTACATTAATTACTTATCCAAATTATTCTTATTAAATAAAAACTTTATGTCCAATTAATAAAGTAACAACTAAAGTGGTCACGTCACGTACCTACCTACGGTAATCATTTGACTTTCGTCTCTTATCACAAATGTAAACAAAGTTATCACTTTATCAATGTTACTTTGTGTCAGTAGTGTTTTAAACAAGTGACGTGCATGCACTATCTTATTCAAGAAAAAGAGAAAAGATATAATTTTTAAAAACGAAGAATAATGTAAAAAATAATTTAAAATATATATATATATATATATATAATATTATATATAAGTTATTTAAATGATTAACTTATATTATAAATTATAAATATATATGTATATTAAATATAATAAAAAGTATGATGTGATTGAAATATATAATTAAAAATAGATAGTAATGATAAAAATTATAATATTTACTTAGTTTCAATTCAAGTCAATTTGCTGCCCCCTAACAGGGTGATGTATATTACTTATTATAATGACTGACTGTGCACATTTTGCAACAAGAAATATATAACAAATAAGTTTCATGAAAATTTATTCTGCTCTAGGTCTAGGATTAATTTTCATTGAATTCATCACCATGTTTGCTCATGGCGGATTGGTGTTAAAAAAAATATTTATATATTGTATAATACATTTAATATATATGAGTTCGAAATTATATCTTCAGGTTCCTACGCCATTATTTCCTTTGCATGGGCGTTAGAAGCGACCCTAACCTCTGCCAACAACCAAGTAACAATGTAATTGATTGAATTCTTTAGATACCTAAATACATGTAAATGTACTCAATTAAATTTAGAACCATCACATATGTATATATCGTAACAGTAACAAATTTCATTAATATCATTACAGTTATTTTCATGATTTTTACTTCAAAGTACGAAGAAAATGCTTCCAAAGAAGATAATACTCTACACATTTCCAAATATACCTGATACCAGTATCCTCATAAGTACGAGCTATAAATAGCTACCATCAGCTTGTTGCTCCCGTCGTCAAGGTCACCAGGACATTGTCACCAGTCCGACTGGTTCACTGGGTCGTAAATGCCTTTGAGCCTGAACTCTTTCTTACTAAATAATTATAAAAATACGAAAGTTTGTACATCCTTCGAAAAAACTTGCAAAATTAATCTTTTTTCATGTCATAGGAGCTGAAGTATTACCTGGTGATAAGCAATTGTAGGATATGGTATTTAAAGATAGATGATAGGTAGATAGCGTTATCCCAAAAACGCAGACGAAGCCGCTGCCAGAAATAAGTGTATAGGGAAATTAAATGCAGTTTCCAAATAGGTTATTGTTGTGTAAGTTGGTAAAAAAAATTGCTAAAGCAAAGACACCTTCTTTTCTATTTCCTTTTTTTACGTGATAGATCGGCAAACGAACAGTCGCTTTACCTGATGGTAAGCAATCAGCGCTACCCATAGACACCCGCAACAACAGAGGAGTTACGAGTGTGTTGCCGGCGTTTTTAGGATTAGGCGTTTGGAGATTTAGGGATTGGGGGAGAGGAAGGATTGACACTCCGGTCGAGTAGCCCCATTTGTGCCGAAGCTTGCTTTGGGAGAGCCCTTTCTGACTAAAAACCAGAACCACATCGTTCCTTCTACAACTACGAGAGTCCGAGCTGCGGTACGTCGTAATGTCATACCTTCCGCGACCCACTTCGAAGTATATTTCATAAAATGTCTATTATTTAACACACTACCCAATTACTTTACTGTTGAGGGAATAAAAACTTTTCTTGTAGATTTCTAAAACCTAATAAATGTTTTTCTGGGATTCAAAAATGCTATAGAAAAGAATCGCCCTAATTTGCTTGCTCAAAGGCTGGCAACACACTCCTTTAGTGTTGCGAGCCTATATTGACACAAATATAATATATCATCTACATAGGACATGTACTAGCCCGCGGCGTACATTGCCCTCTTATGTACAAACAGATCTAACGACTTTATTTGTGGTTAAACTTGACCCAGTAACTAGCTTACTAGCAACTAAACTTGCGCAATCTAAACGCAGCACAACTATGTAGATTAATTTCTTGAGAGCAACTTGATGGTTTTACAAGCATACATTCATCTTTTTAGCAGGCTGCCGTGCAACGTGTAGCGAGTTCGATTCACGCACAGAACAACTCTTTGTGTCATTCATAAATTGTTGTTGCGGGTCTGGGTATCATATTATGTTTGTGGAAACACATGATCGTTTAGGAATGATTGAAGGATTCCTTGTGTAAGTAAGGCAATCAAAGGTCCAATTCTCCCCTCTACTTTCTTTCCAAGTCCCCAGATAACCAAATCCGCCAAACCTTAAAACCCTAACCCCGAAGCCGGAAACGCACTTGTAACTTTTTTTATGGTATAAGTCGGCACACGAGCAGACGGATTACCTAGGCTTAGACGGATGGTAGGCAATCGAACACCCGCAACAACAAAGGAGTTGCCGGCCTTTTGGGGATAGGGGTTGCGGATATAAGGATCGGGAAGGGATAGGGGAAGGGGCGGGATTGGGCCTCCGGTAACCTCACTCACACGGCGAAACACCACGCTGTGGTTGTTTCAGGCCGGTATTCTGTGAGGCCGGTCGAGCCGACCCATTCGTGCCAAAGCATGGCTCTCCCACACTTAAATTCCTCAATGGGCGTCCATGGGCGGCACCTATTACTTACTATCAGGTGACCTAATTAAGCGTTTTTCGACCTAATTCGCATAAAAAAATGCATGCTTCGCAATTTACAGCAGATTTAATAACCCGAGGTAACTACATAAACCTCGAAAGTACTCGATATATTATGTACCTATATATAGGTAGACACTACTTCGCTATGAACCGGGGACGGTAACCGGAACAAACAAATCTGTGGCCTACAGATTCGTTCCGGATCTGGTAATTTGCGAGTCGAAGGTAAATACATATACGCATTCGATGAGACAGGAAAACCAAAAGGTTACCGAATAAGTAAATTGAACAATTTACCTATGACTTAATGTATTGGACATTATTTTTTATTCAAGTAGGTACTAGCTACTCTCCTTCTAAGCCTACCTCGATAAATGTACTAACAAACACAACAAGAATTATGAAATTGGTACCAGTAGTTTCGAAGATTAGCGCGTTTAAACAAACAAACTCTATAATTTTATCATATTACAATTAAATAATAAATAATAATAGATTATCTACCAGCTCTTACCCTTGGTTCTGTCCACGTGAATTAACTATAAGGTTCTCAATACTACTTTACGCTTACCCTTTTTTTGTCTAGGACACTTTCGATGTATACGCCGTTGTCACCAACGATCCGAGAACAAAATTTTCATCGTATTCCCAGCCACTCATGAACCGCTGTATACATATTATGCTACGAGGAAGTCAATATGGTTGCGCGAGTTCCTTTTTTGTGTGTATAAAACCGCCTTTTGAGATGGCTAATCTGTTAAGTGATTGCAAGTACCCGCAGTAGGCACACATACATATGTACTTATAACACATACAGAAGTTGTTACTGCCTTCCTTATTTAACTTCGTAGATACAGAACGTGAAAAAGTGATTTACAAAGAACAATGGTCAGCTTCCACGATTTACATTAACTAAAAAAAATATCCCTACTTACTATGAGATTTACAAACTTTTTGGCAGTGCACGGCAGGCTCTCATTGAAGTCCAAGGTTGGTTCTCATCTTAGCAAGACTGTTCATTGGCTACCAATCAATTTGTAACCATAGGTAGGTAGATATGTGCAAAAGTAAATTTGAAATTAGCTTCTTCATCTTGGAAAGTTCTCGTAGGTCTAATTTACAGAAATCAGCTAACAACGTGATAAATCGCACTAAATACATTAAAGAGCTAGGTACGGTAAAAATAGACACCATAATTTTGTTTCAAAGTTTAAAAGCACAAACAAAACATAATACGAAAGTAAGATAAAATAGGTATAACACATAATAGTCATTGCACCAAAAAAAATCAAACTGTCACTTTACCTTTTTTCGCCACAGATAAAATAGGAGCACTAAATAACTGTTCGTATCTAAGTCACAACACTTACTGTAAGAGGTTCAATTATATTTTAGACGTGTCAAGCAATGACCTTTAATCAAGTGTTGACCATGGAGGTACGATCTGAGATTGTCAATGTCAGTTTAAAAGGATTTATAGCTAACGCTTTCTTGTTGCGCCTGACCTACATCACTAATGATACTGCCATCTTGAAAATCGATGCGAAGTTATGAATCTAATAGATACAACTTATGTTTGTAAATTATCTTGATTATCTTATCTTTTATTTTACACAGAATACTGAATTGTTTGTTGATCTGGAAGCTACAAGTGAGATCGCCAGAATTAGATTTCGAACCCAAATTTTTCTTGCTTTGATCTCCAATGTTCCCATAAATCATGGACCCATTATAATTTATAAGTTTCTATTTCAGGGGAGTTTCGCATTTTGACCAAACATTTCAAATATGTATATGAGAATATGCTTGAACAGACATAGAACTGATATGACATACAACATTAAATCAACTCGATGGACCTCTGAACTGTGTCTCAACTTACCCCATCAAAGGCATAAGTAAAAAGAAACAGTATAATTTACCGCCATCTATGATTACAGTAAGAAACTATTACTGATTTGTTTACGTTACGTCCGTAGACGTTAACTCATAATCCACACTACAAAACATCTCTATTTATTAATTCAATAGACAGATGTCAGTAGTAGCGCCTAAAAATTGTGTTCACAGTTCAGGTTTATCAGAGAACGCTGCTATTTTTTTATGCGTTGTCCTTAGTCGGCTGAGAAAATGGGTATGATTAAAAACTTTTTCTTTACAATTATCTTTATTTGTAAGAAAGTAGAATAATACAAAACATATAAACACTGTACAATGATTAACGTATAAAAATAACACATTGTATGCTTTTCAAATCTCTGAGGCAGAGCATACAAATTATACCAATCCTTAAATAATAACTAAACAAAGACATCTACACTCAATCTCGCGGACGTTTTCGAAAAAACTAAAATATCACCTCATGGTGGGTCTTTTGAAATTATTACTTTTTTTAAAACATTTATTTACAACTTACTCAATAGAGTCAACATTAGTTCGTAAGATGGGATGTCAGAGGATATTACATACTTAAAAACAATGATCTGAACCATGAAGTCTGTATTATAATGGATGCAACAACAGTCACAGAATATCCGTAAACCAATTCTGAAGGTAAAAGGTCAATAAGTGTTATAGGGATGGACAAATTGTAGTATTTGAGAAATGCCCTTGAAAAATTATACTAAAATGCTTGCAACAATCGTAATCCTTAGCAGAAAAGTCGTGCTAACATGCTGTATTCTTGAGTTGTTGGCTTGTACATGTTTTTATTATATTTTCAACCTGGTTCGGGTGAATGTCGGGAATATTCTGGTGGGACAGGAGGGGATGGTATAGCAGGGTCTCCCTGAAGTTGCGTCAGAGCACATCGGACGGCTGATAGTGTTTCTGGCGTGTGCTTGCGTCCGCGCGGCGCGTGCGGTCGATGTGGACGCACCATACGGTCGGCGGTGGCTGTAGATTCTGTTGGAATGAAAGAAAATGGAAGATAGAGTAAGAGGTAAAAGATAAAACCGATGTGCCTTTGTAAAGCATGAATAGAATGTTTTGATGGTGATGAACCAGAAGAAAATACAAGAACAACACTTATTTCGACTTAGACTCTTAGAATAGAGTATGTAAGCCGAAAGAAAAGGAGAAATAAAGAAAATCCATTTCTTTCTAAGCTTTCAAGTAAACGTTGTTGTAATTTTTTTATACTATCTTGTGATTGCTGCAGTGGCCTGGGAGAAATTCAACAATTCTTATGCAATGATGAATGGTATGCGAGGAACTGGTCCAGTGACATGCCCTCCAAACAAACGACAAATAAATCGAAATAAAAAATCACACTTATCAAAAGATCGGACAAAAAGCAATAAATAAGAACTCCACCAAACAATGTCCACAAAATCCTTTTGAGTCTCTCTGCCAGTCAGTATATCAGAAAGACTGACATTACAGTGAACACGTGCACGCAAATTATATAAAAAAGAATAAAATTTTTCACTACACACCGCACCGTCAGGAAATCGTTTAGCAAATCGTGAAACCAGTCAAGTTCCTTTGTTTAGCAGTTTATCAATGTTACAGTTCAATGATGCGCAGCTCACGATAAGATCTGACTCAGAGCTTGTATTATCCATAAACGTGCAAACATACGTTCGCCAATCATTTTAGATTGAATTACCGGTTATTTTACTTAACAGTACCAACCTAACTGTTCTTAGACTTAAGAATGATGAAGAAGCAAACGCCTCTACGGATCGCCTGATTGTATACATACAATCATCCATGGAAACCAACCACATCACACACATCACATCATCAGCCTAAAGTGTCAACTGCTGAGCAACGGCCTCTTACACGGAGATGGTGATTAATGCTTGAACATTATTCACCACGGACCCTACGGGGCTGATGTTCAGCTGGGGTTGTGGGGCAAGCGCACTGAGGCACCGCGGCCTCGGCTCAGAGTAGGAGAAGGAACGGGGCGGTTTTTAGTCAGTAAGAGTCTGACACTTCCTCCTGCCCCTACCCGGGCGTAATAAATCATCGGATGATTTTCCCCTCGCAAAAAAAGCATGAAAATCGGGCGTCCTAACCTCCGGGCCATCAGCCACACCAAAGAAATTATAGAATCGCCGTTTTAAAAGAAAGTAATACATCTTTTCACAAAAGTCTGATGATGATGACTTAAGTTGCAATGTCAACTCACGATTAACTCTAGGTATTTCTCTCTCAGGGCTGACATCTTCGAGTCTCTCGCAGCAGGTGCAGAAGTAGCACGGCACGCCAGGTACCCCGCAGCACAGAGCCCCCCACAGCCACCTGTTTAGGGTACTTGCAGTCCTCGACCATGCACTTGGCCTATCCTATATGTTGAAGAGAGAACCGTCCTTATAAGGTTATATTATTCTACACTATTATTACATATAAGCAATTTGTAACAAAAATATGTACTGTCGTGTTGAGAATAGTTTAAGAGGAGAGAGTATGTGACAGGGCCTAGCAACAGAGCCAGTAAAAAATTTTGATACGTAATAGGACTTTGATGTGATTACAGTGCTAGCACACACCACCACCACTATTCCGTTGCTATCAAGTTATAAAATGGATTGCAATGCATCATAAAATCCTTAGGGAAGGAAGGGTAAAACTTATGATGATAATCTGGAGCAATTAATACTTCTTTATTTGAACGTAAGTCTTTAATTTTACAATTAACAATTTGTTATCAACGTGTCTGACGATTGAACTTACTGCTCATTCTTCCTTTCCACTTACTCTCATTTAAGTTATGTCATCTATGCTCTCATGTGTTGCAACTATAAGAAATATACTGCTCATAACTAATTCAACACTGGCATCCAAACATTTTTATCTATTTTTAATCATCACAAATACCTTAAGACTACTAGAGATTCTCAAAAGACTTTTGATGTTGATAATATCGCACAAACGTAGGTTAAAACTATCTATCTCTTTCTTTAATTGGTAAAACCATAACATTTGTCCTTCTCTTGTTAATTTAAATTTTTAACATAATTACCTGGTGGTTATACACAAAATTCCGATTCATCACACCTTCATCTTTGCTGGACTATCTCCGTCTTCCGAAAATATTAGATTCATTAGACTTGACAATGTCATTATGACTGGGGTAATCAATAAAATTTATACTTTTTTTCCTATAATATGTCAAACATAATTATAGCTAGATTGTATTCATACTTTTTGTAGTTTATGGTTTAACAAAACAGTAAAATTTTGATCGAGAGTTTCGTTTGACCAGTTATATAAAATGTACTCTGTGACCCCAAAAATAACAGAATGTTGGATGATGGCGTCTACGAAGGGGAATTTAAGTAAAAAGCTCTATTTGAGGTCCTTTTAGAGGCTTTTTCTGAGAGAGAAATTATCAAATAACTTCTCTCGCTCAAGTGAGGCAAAAGGGTGTGCCAGACTCTTACTGGCTAAAAACTTCTCCTGCTTTAGGCCAAGGTTTCGGTGAATTATTGCGCTTGTCCCGTAAACCTGGCTGAACATCGCCTCTATAGGGCCCTATCTGTAGTGGTCTATTAGCTCTTTGACGCTTGGGTCTGGCTGTTTTGTTAAATGATGGTTGGCTACGATGTCAGTTCAAGTCAAAGTATCCCACACTTTCTAGTCATTTTCTCAGAATATACAGATATTTCTCGTTACTAAAAAAATTCTCTAAATACAGAGTAACAAAATTCAACAACGATCCACTTCGATTTCAGTTAATTATTGGGTTTTCTCTCGCGTGCTCTGTTCCTTAAGAGCGTTTACGCGCTAAGGGTTTTTATAAAAACTTTTAAGTTAAAATTAATAAATTATGAAAACTACTGAATTGATTTTAATAAAACACGGTAATCATACGCAAGGTATCAAGGACTAAAACCATATTTAAGTGTGGGTGCGACGGCAGGAACGGATCGGCTCGACCGGAGTCATAACACACTCATACAGAAAACCGGCGTGAAAACCACAAGGTTACCGGAGGCTGCATCCTCCTTCCGTCCCCAATCACTAAATCTCTGAAACTTTAATCCTTTAAAAGATCGAAATGGCGCTTATAACTCACAGATATTTCGTCGACATTTTCTTTAGTCGAGGGCGATACGCGATTTTTATAGAAAAACTTAAAATGGCATCTATCTACACCTTTTTAAAATGTCCTGAATAAGTTTCTAGACTATGATATATTACATAATATGAATACCAAGTCTAATTCAAATCAGTTCTGTAATTTCCATGATATTCGACTTGTAAGTTTGTATGAAAACCCCTGCAGCGTACACACTATTAATCGTCGCGTGCTAATTAATAGATCAGATAGCGTAATCTTCATCAAATTGAACTACCAGAAGCAAAAAAATATCAAATCTCAATTGGCGTGCTTATACAAACTAATTCTCCAATTTTATCATGAGTGCAGATAACGGATTACCCTTAAGATTTTTTTACAAGCCCTGACCATACCTGTAAAAGGGCCATGCTTCGGCACGAATTGGTCGGAGTGATACCACGGCCTCAAAGAAATCCGGCGTAAAGCAATATTTACGTCGTGTTTCGCCGGCTCATGGCCTCTTATCGGGCGGCGCGGCGCTAATGG